GCAGGAATGACCCAGAAAGTGCGACACCCAACAGGGCAACTGACCAGAGGAAAACGGGAGTGCCGCTTTCCACAGAAGAGACTCAGGAGGCAAAACAAACCAGGCAGCACGACGGCCTGGTTAGATCCTCATGTGAACAAGCCAGCTGTCAAAGGCAGTTCTGAGATGGTCAGGGAGCCTCAAGCGTGGACTGGGTCTCAGGTAATCCAGGAATTACTGCCACTGCTGTGAGGTGTGGTCAGGACCCCACATGTGTGGGAACGTGGGAAACACCCACGTGGTTAGAGATCCACAATGAAGTACAAACATGGCCTGACACGGGCCTGGGATTTGCTTTAAGACACTGAAAAGAAAAGGCAAAGGGGCAGAGACAGACACCGTGAACCTGGCGCACTACAGCCAACCTCTGAGTCCAGGAGGTGGGCGTCTGTGGGCGTTCACCCTGCCATCCCACTACCCGTGTATGTGTTCAAAATGGCAAATGATAAAAGTGGTGATCGGGTCAAAGGAGGGGGCAGTCTCCAGGCACGTTCTCAGTGGAGGGGAGGGAGTGGCCTCCATAGCCCACTGGGGATGCCCCAGCAGTCCCTCCTGCCTGCCTCGGGGAGCCTGGGTCCACAGCTTCCGGCTCTAGCGACAGAGGAGAGAACTTAATCGCCAACCATCTGAGACAAGAGCCAATTGGCGGTGTTTTGTCATGGGCTCCGTTTTCCCCTAATTATCCCCTGCTTTCAGAAGCCTTTTTTTTTTTTTTTACCTCTATTACTCACTGCCAGTAAGACAAACAATTTATCACCCTCCCCGACTAAAAGAAAGGAAAGAACCTGCCCACGCTGGGAGCTGTCTGTCTTGGCCCCTGTGAGAATGTTCTAAAAGCAAGGCTTCCCCAGTGATATTAAACAGAACAAATATAAAGCAAGTTTCTTAACAGATGTTTCTAACAAATTATAAAGAATATAAAGCAATATTTATCTGTGCCCAAACCCCACCTGGTGAGCAAAATACAGAGTGACGAAGTAACCAGTCACCCCGTGGCCTATGTGAACCAGGCTCGGGGGACGCCACAATGAGGCTCCCTGGGGGCCCCCAAGGCCACAGTGAGGCAGACCCGCGAGCTGTGGCCAGTGCCCTGGACTTGGCTTCTGGCCTGCCGAGCGCGTGTGCAGCGCTGGCCAAAGGGCACCTGGCTGTGCTTTCCCTGCACCATCGGCTGCGGCAACATCGAGGCCAGGCCCCTGCCCAGAGCTCAGCAAGTACAATGGCCCCACTCAGGTCCCGGCTTCTGTCCCAGAGGCACCACTCGCGCCTGGCAAGAGCACCGGCGAGGGCTGCATCCTGCCGGACACCGACACCAGTTAAGCCCAAGAAAAGTCAGATCTGAGTTTCTCAAATGGACCCCCAAATGAGCAGCTATTATATGCTCCTAGGCAAGTGACCTAGAAGCATATAAAAATTAAAACCAGAAGACTCTTCTCCTGGCTACGACCAAGGAGCTTGTTATCAAACAGCCCCTCCTGCTGAGACCAGCTATAAAGCCTGAAAAAAGTAAAGTTAAAATGCTGCTTGTAGACCTCAGGGGGCAAGTCTGAAGAGAAGAGACAGACACCTGCCATGACACCAAGCCTACGCCACTTGGTCCCCGGGTGGAGCGGGCCTGGCATGGGCTTTCTGTCTAGGGCCAGCCTCCGAGGGCCCCACATGGCCTCCTTTTCTTTTAGCCTGCAGACCCGATTTAGGGCAACGAACCAGTGCACAAACCAACACTGGAGTGTCCCGGGGGTGTGAAGTGAAGGCCAATGGCCCTCGGTGTCCAAGAGGCAGGGACCGGGGAAGGCATCCCGTCATCACAAAGTTCGTGGGTGTGGCAGAAGCCAAGAGCTGCTTAAAATGAATCTCTGCTCGTTTGGAAAATAAAATCTGGCCCAATGAGTCTTTGTGAACGACTGGCCTGCCCCTCGGAGGGAGGACGCAGTCCCGTCCGCAAGAACCCAGGCCCGACGCCCTGGGACTTACCACCACGTTCAGCAGTCCTCCGTACGGCCCGATATCTGGCTGCCACAGTCCCAAAATGTGTCTGTACCGGTGAAGCACTACAGGGGGAGAGGACAGAGGACAGGACCTCGTCAGAGCCACAGCTGGTCCTCACTTCACAGGCAACAATCGGAGCAAAGGGCGTGAGGGAGAGGAGTGTGAAGAAATCCCTCACGAAGGCTCGTAACAGAGCCCTGCAAACAAATGTAGATTCAAGCAAATATTACAAGTGTCTAAATCATTCCAACAGTAAAAATGTAACAGACAACTGGGTCATTTTGAAACCCAGCCTCTGCGTATCAGCTCCAATGACAAGGAACTGGGCGCCCTTGTGAAGCAATGAACCTCCCCTCCCATCAGTCTACACAACGGAGGACATGTGGGATTCTCTACCAGGGGCAGAGTCCAAAATATCATGGGGCTGTAGACTAAGATTTAATTGGGTCACATCTGTCTTTCTTTTAAACACACACACACACACACACACACACACCACACACACACACACACACACACACACACACACACACACACACAAACACACACACATTCCCCCTTATTTCAAAAGCAGTGCATGTATATTCACTGAGGGCAACGGGAGAAAAGGGCACCTGATGCCGACCTGAGACCCCACTGCACGGCCATGGCCAGCACAGTAAATGCCCTGGGTAGAGTCCCTTCATTTCCATTTCCTCTGCATGTGTATTTGTTGAGTGAACAGTGAACAAGTGAAAGAATGAGCAAACTGCACAAAGAAGACAACCAGCTCATGCAGGGCCCTGCCTGCCAGCCTCAGGGTCTGGGGTCTCTCTGCAGCCAGTGTGTGGTGGTAAAGTTTATATGTCAACTGCACTTCGCCATGGGGGGACCAGACATTCATAGTCAAACATTATTCTGGTATGTCTGTGGTCCTGGATGAGAATAACATTTAAATCTGTGGACAGAGAAAGCAGATTGCCCCCGCCCTAGTGTGGTGGGCCTTGTCCAATCAGTTGAAGGCCCGAGCAGAAGAAGGCTGGTGCTCCCACCAGTGAGGAGACGCTCCTGCTGCCTGGCTGCAGGCTGGGATATCAGTCTTTTCTAACTTCGAGCTCTAACTAAATCATGGGCTCTTCCTGAAGAGGACAAAAAGGCTAACCCTCCCACAAATACAGGGGAATTTTCTCCTGCCAGACTGTGTTGAGCCGGGACACTGGTCTTTTCCAGCCTCTGGATTCGAACCGAAACATGGGCTCTTCCTGGGTCTGGAGGCTGCCGGATTTCGGACTGGAACTACACCATCAGCTCCTGTGGGTCACCAGCCTGCTGACTGGAGATCCTGGGACTTGTCGGCCTCCATAGCTGTGCAATCTAATTCCTTATAATAATCTCTATATATGAAGAAATTGGTTCTGTGTCTGAAAACCCTGGCTAACACTCAGTGGGAGCCATGGACGGTCTCCAAGTGCTGGAGCTGCATGATCACAACCGACCTCAGGAAGGAAGACCGAGCAGCAGGGCTCAGAGGGACCTGAGCCCAGACGGCAGCTCTCCAGCCACCACTTGGTCTGGAGAACAGAGGAGAGGAACGTGAGGCCAGCACCATCCCAAGCCTGCAGGGCATGCAGACGGCTGGTGGGAAAATACCAACCCGTTCCCTAGGTTTCAGCCTAAAGACACACTTCTCTAAATGAGCCTTGATGGTCTGCAGGGCGCCTGCCACTCATGCCGTGTGCAATCCTCTGAGTCGGTTTACAAGACACACATTAAAGTCAGTGGTTATTTTATGGCCATACCCTGATGGGTTCTGTGTTTGTTAAACAAGCAATAATAAGCAGGGTCAGGAGCCATAAACAAATACTGAACTCAGACAGCGCAACACACACTCAGGTGGCTGGGGGTGAAATTGACTGATGGCTGCCAGTTACCTTGAAATGCATCGCAAAACAGGAAGGACCGATGGACGGGTGTGTGGGAGTAAAGTGGAGCAGGGTGCTATGGAATCGGGTAAATGGGTGTTCACTGCACAATTCTTTCTACTTTTCTGTGTGTTTTTAAAATTTCACGATAAAATAGTGGAGAGGGCTTCCCTGGTGGCGCAGTGCTTGAGAGTCCGCCTGCCGATGCAGGAGACGCGGG